CCTGTGGGCAGCCCCTGCGGGTCCCACCAACTGCGCCCCCCCCCTTGTCCTGCCGCCTGCCATTCCCAGGTTCCAGCCACTGGCCCTGGAGGCTCCACTGCCACTCAGGCTCCTGGCCTTGGCCCCGCGGCTGCCTCCAGCGGTGGCTGGGTTGCCAACTCTCCTGGACCAGATGTCACTGCGGCGAATGGCGTCCGCTCTGCCAGGTCCGGAAGAGAGAGCAATTCGGTGTAACCCCCCCCCCTTGTCCTGCCGCCTGCCATTCCCAGGTTCCAGCCACTGGCCCTGGAGGCTCCACTGCCACTCAGGCTCCTGGCCTTGGCCCCGCGGCTGCCTCCAGCGGTGGCTGGGTTGCCAACTCTCCTGGACCAGATGTCACTGCGGCGAATGGCGTCCGCTCTGCCAGGTCCGGAAGAGAGAGCAATTCGGTGTAACCCCACCCTGAGGCAGGGGGGAGGGCTCAGCTCAGCCCAGCCCCACTGCTAATGACCGCTCTGCCGAGGGGCTCCTGCTTTTCCTTCCACCTCCTTCCTGTCTCCTGCCTTCCCGCTGCTGCTTGGTTTCCTCCCCCTGGGCTCTAGGGTGCTCGGTGGCGGTGGGCAGCCCGCAGGTATCAGCAGCCCCTAGGAAAGGCAGCAACACTGCTCTGCGCTCAGCTGCTCACACAGACTCCTCTGCAGTAGGAGCCCTGGATGCCGCAGCACATGGAAGGGAGGCCTGGACCCCAGGGTCTGTCCGGAGAGCCTGCATTCGACAGCACCACCGGCCTCGCAAGGGGGTGTCTCGGCTGGGCTGACCTGGGGAGAGGCACGCAGGCGGGAGCCCCCCTTCCTGGCGTCTGCTTGGCACCTGTGCCCTTCCCACACCCCGGCTCCGCAGCCATGGGGTGAGCTCACTGTCCGGGACGCCCTGGCTCTGCTCTCCAGTCTGGGCACTGCTGCAGAGAGCTCATCACCCACAGGGCCACCAGCGACACCTCCCGGCCCTTCGGAGCTGGCACTGTCCTGCACGCCCTCACATGGCCCTGCCCCAGGCTTGCACGAGCTGCTTACGGCTTTGAGCTCCCGGTCCTGAAAGAAGCGAGGCAGCAGGAAGCGTCGTAAGGGCACCGTCAGGATCAGCACAAAGGGGAACGCTAACGAAGCCACAGTGGACTTCACCACCCAGAGCACCACGATGCAGGCCAGCTGAATGCAGGTGAACAGGTGCATTCTCCAGGTCTTCACCTGCAGACACAAACCCAGCCTAGCAAGGCACCAGCCTTCATGGGGAGAAGTTCCCCCGTCCCAACCAGCCTGC